AAAGCACAAAGGCATTAAATGCTAGCCAAGTTTTAGGGACAGGTTGAAAACAGATGAAAAATGCCCCAACAAAAGGATCACAATTTTTATTCCAGCATAATTTAAATTTCTGGATATCTCGATGTACAGAATGATACAGTGGTTTCCTTTGATCACAAAATCTATTAAATGAAATGCTTGTGGGTAAATATTGAGGTTTTTTTTGTTGACTTCTCAGGAAAGATGTTTTAAACATTATTTCAACTTAGATCTTCACAAATTGTTTTTCTTTATTCAATACGTAAAAGGCTTGTGAATTATTCAATGGAATTTTTTGTGCTTGATTAACCATTCTTGGGACAGGGTTTTCTAGATTTCAGCTAATGCTTTCAAACTGAAAGGACTGAAATTAATAGAATCATGGAATATTTAGGGTTGGAAAGGACCTTAAGATCATCTAGTTCTAACCCCCTTGCCGTGGGCAGGGACACCACACACTGGACCATGTCACACAAGATTCCAACCAACCTAGCCTTGGGACCTGCCACGGATGGAGAGCTCACAACTTCCTTGGGCAACCTGTTCCAATGCCTAACCACACTCACAGTAGAGAACTTCTTCCTTATATCCAATCTAAACTTCCCCTGTTTAAGTTTGAACTCATTACCCGTTGTTCTATCACTATAGTCCTTAATGAAGAATCCAAACTGGTCAATGAAGTCCACATTAAAGAAGGTAATTTAGCATTAAAATTAAAAAATGTTGGCTTTAAGTACCATATAAACCAGCTTCCCAGTTTTCAGGTGCTGCGGTTTAAGCCCAGCCTGTCAATTTGGCCACTGAGCCCTCGCTCACTCCCCCCGCCTTCCTTCCCCCTGCTCCCCGAAGGATGGGGAGGAGAACGGAAAGAAAGTCACTCCAACGGGCTGAGATAAGAACAGTTCAGTAACTAAGGTATAATACAAATCACTACGGCTACCACCAATAATAACAATGATAAGGGAAATAACAAGGGAAGAGAAGCAGGAGGGAAAGGAAGTGCAGCAGGAGGGCCAGGAGACCTCCTTGGATGGATAAGGAGCTCCTGAGGAAAATTCAATTGAAAAAAGGGGCTTATAATAAGTGGAAGCAAGGACAGGTGGCATGGGAAGAGTATAGGGATGTTGTCCGAGAAGCTAGGGACCAAGTTAGAAAAGCTAAGGCTCAGTTAGAATTAAACTTAGCTAGAGGTATTAAAGATAACAGGAAGGGATTCTACAGGTACATAGCAAATAAAAAACAGACTAGGGAGAATGTAGGCCCCCTCAGAAAGCTCTCGGGAGAACTGGCTACACAGGATTTGGAGAAGGCTGAGGTTCCTAATGACTTCTTTGCCTCGGTCTTCACTGGCAAAGGCTCTGACCAAACCACCCAAGTCTTGGAAGGCAGATGCAGGGACTGTGAGAATGAAGACCTTGCGCCCACTGTAGGAGAGGAACTGGTTCGAGACCATCTTAAAAATCTGAACGTGCACAAGTCCATGGGACCCAATGAAATCCATCCGTGGGTCCTGAAGGAGCTGGTGAATGAAGTTGCTAAGCCACTGGCCATCATATTTGAGAAATCGTGGCAGTCAAGTGAAGTTCCCGATGACTGGAAAAAGGGAAATATAACCCCCATTTTCAAGAAGGGGAAAATGGATGACCCAGGGAATTACAGAGCAGTCAGTCTCACCTCTGTGCCTGGCAAAATCTTGGAGCAGATTCTCCTGGAAGGCATGCTAAGGCACATGAAAAACAACAAGGTGCTTGGTGACAGCCAGCATGGCTTCACTAAGGGGAAATCCTGCCTGACCAATCTGGTGGCCTTCTATGATGGGGCTACAGAACTGATGGACAGGGGTAGAGAAGCTGATGTCATCTACCTGGACTTGTGTAAAGCGTTCAACACTGTCCCACACAACATCCTTGTCTCTAAATTGGAGAGACATCAATTTGATGGATGGACCACTCGGTGGATAAAGAACTGGCTGGATGGCTGCACGCAAAGAGTTGTAGTCAATGGCTCAATGTCCGGCTGGAGACCAGTAACGAGTGGTGTCCCTCAGGGATCGGTGTTGGGACCGGTCTTGTTCGACATCTTCGTTGCTGACATGGACAGTGGGATTGAGTGCGCCCTCAGCAAGTTTGCCAATGACACCGAGCTGTGTGGTTCGGTTGATACCCTGGAGGGAAGGAATGCCATCCAGAGGAACCTTGACACGCTTGTGAGGTGGGCTGATGCCAGCCTCATGAAGTTTAACCATGCCAAGTGCAAGGTCCTACAGCTGGGTCGGAGCAATCCCAGCACAGCTACAGGTTGGAAAGAAAAGAGATTCAGAGCAGCCCTGCAGAGAAGGACTTGGGGGTGTTGGTCGATGAGAAAATGAACACGAGCAGGCAGTGTGCGCTTGCAGCCCAGAAAGTCAACCGTATCCTGGGCTGCATCAAAAGGAGTGTGACCAGCAGGTCGAAGGAGGTGATCCTGCTCCTCTACTCTGCTCTTGTGAGACCTCACCTGGAGCATTGTGTGCAGTTCTGGTGTCCTCAACATAAAAAGGACATGGAACTGTTGGAACAAATCCAGAGGAGGCCACGAGGATGATCAGGGCTGGAGCACCTCCTGTATGAAGACAGGCTGAGGAAGTTGGGGCTGTTCAGCCTGGAGAAGAGAAGGCTGCATGGAGACCTCATAGCAGCCTTCCAGTATCTGAAGGGGGCTATAGGGATGCTGGGGAGGGACTCTACATTAGGGACTGTAGTGATAGGGTTAAAACTTCAACAGGGGAAGTTTAGATTGGATATAAGGAGGAAATTCTTTCCTGTTAGGGTGGTGAGGCACTGCAATGGGTTGCCCAGGGAGGCTGTGAATGCTCCATCCCTGTCAGTGTTCAAGGCCAGGCTGGACGAGGCCTTGGGTGATATGATTTAGTGTGAGGTGGGTTGGAACTGGATGATCTTAAGGTCCTTTCCAACCCTAATTGTTCTGTGATTCTATGATTCTAAGAGAATACAACCGCTCACTACCCACCAAATGGTACCCAGCCCGATCAAGCAATGACCTAGCCCTTCTGGGTAACTACCCCAGTTCTACATCCTGGGCATGACGTGCTGTGGTATGGAATACCTCTTTGGTCAGTTTGGGTCAGGTGTCCTGTCTCTGCTTCCTCCCAGCTTCCCCTCCTCCCTGGCAGAGCATGAGACTCGCAAAGTCCTTGGTCAGACTAAACATTTGGGCAGTAACTAAAAACTTGGTGTTATCAGCGCTGTTCCCAGGCTGAAAGTCAAAACCACAGCACTGCACCAGCTACTAAGAAGGAGAAAAATGACTGCTACTGCTGAACCTAAGACACCAGGTTATAAGCCTCCTTCAATTCTGATTCTCTTTGGGTATCAGGGGCTAAGAGTAAAAGCTCTGCTGGAAAATCTTTCAATTTTCTAGTATTATTTTTTCCCCTTTGAATACTTTGGCAACACCAAATAGTTTGCAAGCAGTAGAGTGAAAACAACCATAATACACTGGAAACAAAGTGTATACTATTTTTTTTCTGAGATATTTATGAGTATTAATGAATCATTGATTTGTGAATTTGATAAAGAGATGTATTAGTGCTCATCTGTAGTGGTTGTAATTCTTATTCTTCTTTCTTTGGTTGATACTAGTAATGTAAAGTACATTGTATAGTAATATAATATAGGTCCTCTCTAGACCTTACAGAAAGGAACGGGCATCTCTAAGGGTGAACCATGTTGACTGCTTTGGGATGAGAGAACCATCTCCCCATGAGTAGGTGTCTAGTAGTCTCCAGTGACCTCATGAGAAGTCAGTCAGATAAAATGGTTAGCCAGAATCTGCAATATCATTTTGGGGTTGAATTTTATCAAAACTGAAAGCTCTTTATAAAACAAATGATAACAACAACAAATGTGCTGAAATATATTTCCCATCAGTGTCCATACCCACAGCCTCATACCAGCCACTGTACTTTAGCACCAGAAAATACTCATGAGAGCTCCCGGTGTCTTTTAAGGCACCAAAGTTTGTAGTAACATCTCCCCTTGATAAAACTTTCATATATAACCTTTGGTTAGCCAGGGGTAACCAAGTCCCATGTACTCAAGCTTTCACAGTGTAACAGTGACAGTATGGTATATCTAGACCTAAAGCATCAGTTCTTGACACATTTCAAGAGCTTGCTCTTGGCTTCTACTTAGCTTTCCACAGGATATTGAATCAGCCTGAGGGCACCAGTCCTGCTTTTCAAGTTGCCAAATGTCTTCAGTGGCTCAGGTGGTTGGAATTGTCCTCTGCACTCCAGGGAGAGCGCAGTGATTAGAAACTTCTTTTCCCCTCTGGAAATGAAGCTTCCTCCAAAAGAAAGCTCAGACTTTAGTGCAGTAGACTGAGTTCTGAAAAGCAAGTGGAAAAAAGGCACAAGAACACAAATTCAGTGAGTTGAGAATGTGAACTCAGACTTATTGCTACATTCTGATAAAGGTGAATTGTACTGAATGCCTTTCACGTCTGTGTACAGCCATAATGTACAGTTCAATTAAAGAAAACCCTAGTTTACTTGGGCATTTAAAGTACCTTCTTAATGCTACAGTGTTGGCAATTAGAAAAATTACTGTTGCATACAGTGAGCAAAATCTGAGTCTCAGTTCCAAAGGATTCACTTCAGTGGATTTGCCAATAGTCCATTGATTTCTCACAGAGTTTTACATGTGGGAAGTAGATGCAGCCATGGAGAATGGCAGTGCTGATATTTGTCCTGCCGCTGAAGAACTTCCCTCAGGAAATCTCAGTCTGAGGCTGATGTAGACGATCTGGGTTTCTGGATATGTTATTTAATCTGCCTCATATGCTATGAAGTAGACAGGCTCCAGCTAGAGAATTAATCTGCATCTGCCCAGGACCATGCTGGATAAACTAGAAAGACTTGTGCTGAGCCCTGTGGATTGCAAGAAGGTCCAAATAACAATACCTTATGTCCATGATCAGCTTTGCTGCAATCAGATTTTAACTTGTGTACATTACACCGCATCGCAGGTCACAGCACAAATTTAATTAAATCCTGATAAAAATCAATTTGCAGCTCTTGTACTACTTAAGTCAAAGGTACAAAACTACTGAGCAAGGTGCTCAGCTGGAGAAAGTTCTCAAGTAGAAAATTACAGCTGTGTTTTTTAGGTGTTCATCTAATTTTGTATGCAATGAAGGCCAATGGGCTGGATCCTTGGCTCCATAGTGAGTTCTGCTAGCAGTGGTGGGATGGTCTTCACTTGTGCCAGCTGAGGTCCACCCTTTCATCAAATGGATTAAATCAGAAATCAGCACTGGTTACAGACTTCAATCACAGCACTGGACCTCAGGCTTGTCTGTTATATAAAAGTTCCCTACAATTTGGGATGACTCAGTGTTGTTTCTGTCTCCAGCGGCAACATGATGTCCTTTGGGACATCCAAGATCTATCTCGCTGACACATGGGACCCACCATTTGCATCACAGGAAAAGTCTTGTGACCACGACTGGGATTTCAAAGGATGATATTAAAGGCCCCATGATTTCAAGGGAAATCAGACAGCGCTTCAAAATCTGGCTCTAAGGCTCTCAATGCAGCTGGGACAAACTGAGGCTGATGCTAATAAAAAGCGAGTTCTGCCTGGATTCTAGAGGAAAGGACAGGCACCTGGGAGATCTGGCTGTAATACCAGCTAGCTGGGTGACCTGGGACATAGGAACTTTAAGTCCAGTCTGGTTTTAGTAGGGGGCTAACTGAATATCATGGAGCAAAACCCATGGCTTTTGTCATCTTCAATGACAAAGAGCACTCATGCTGTCATTTTGTAGCAGGCAAGCATCTTAAGGAGCATCCTTACTAATTAGTCTGTGACTGAAAGCAGGTAGTCCTCTCAAGCAGGAAGACAGCAAATTTCTAGATGTGATCTATCCCTTCTGTAATAACTTGCTGGTGATTCTTTCCCTTTTTATCCATTAGCATGCTGTTTGGTTTGCTATCTCTCATCCGCACTCAGAGCATCATCCTTTCTTCGCAGAACAGGGCTACTTTGCATGGGCTTCGTGAATCCAGATTCAGTGCCTCTTATTTTACATGGAATGCTGATGAATAACTCAGCAGTACCTCTGACGCAGATGGCCTCTAAATAACAGACACAAATCAATGACTATGCATTAGAGCTGCAGTTTCTGAGCCGAAGTTGTTTCCATGACAGCTAAAGTTTCTGGACATGCTTATTGCACCCTCTTGTGTTTGTTCACTATAAATGCATGATTTATTCAATCGCGTTCCACATTTTGATGATGGACCAATTGGTATCTAATGCTGACTTTCCTCTTGGACCTCACTGGTAGAGCACAAAGGACTGGGAAGGAGGATAAGCCATTGGTGTGGATGCTCAGTAATTTTATTTTATAGAGTTTTGATCAGTAACTGCTGCAAATCAGCATCGTTTTTATTTTTCCATTTTGTTGACATCCATTAAAATTATGGTCCTTGGTATAATTGATTCAAGCCAAAATATGTAACCTAAGAAGGAACTTGTATTAGACTATGCAAGCAATGAAAGCATTTCTTTAACATCACTAACTTATGCACAAGGAATTAAATTCACAGCCACTTTGCCTTGCACTTAACTGAAAGGCTTTCCAAGCTATGACGGATGGCGTGTGGGATCTGAAGAGCTTTTCGAGTCCTCCTCACTTCTGCAGTGGGCAGATTGCCCACGTCCCTCCTTTCCTTTGCTTTGCACTTTTCCTGGGCAAGGAAGAGATCCTTCAAATAATTATTAAGACTGATAGTGACAGCATACTTCCCTATTGATTTTTCCATCTACCTTCAGGTTCTCTCAGGTTGAGGCTTTCTAAGGCTGCCCAACAGACTGACAGCTTTGAAAGACCAAAGCCGAACGTATCCTTTTAATCTCTGTCATATTAAATGAAATTTGAAGCTTACCTTTACAAGGCTTTACAAATGAGAGTAGATTATTTTTTTTCCCCTGCTTTGCCTGCATTGAAATCCCCAGCCCTATAAAGTGACCAGGCTGTGTTTTCTTTGCTGTGGATGTGGATAGCAGATGGTGAGATTACAGGAGCAGCAGAGGACAAGAAAAGGTCTTGCACATATTTTTGAGGCAGGCTGTTGAAAGCCACAGTATCACCGCACTGTTATAATAGTGATATTATCATGAGGAAGCCTCTGAGCTCCCATTATATATCAGTAATGTTAGGACCCCATTAGTACTGCCTCCAATTTGAAATACTCCAGTGGGGAAAACAGGTGAATGCGTTGGGAAAACCCTGGCAAAAAAAAAATGACCTTGTTTTCAACCTGTGCTGCTTACACAGTTTTGATGATGTACAAATGCTTTTCCACATCCTCAGCCCTATTGTTCTCGCTCAAAGTGCTCTGGAGGTGTCAGGATTGAGGTGTGTGTGATTGAAGGAAACTAGAGGTTCAGCAGGAAAGAGCTCTACATATTTTGCTTATAGAGAACTAATAAACTGCTGGCTTTGTCAAGATCAAAAAGTAAATCCCAGGATAGAAATATTGCTTTGGGAATTAAAGTTTGTCAACTAAGCAGGGTATGTCCAGCCTGGTGAGAGTTTGATGCAGAATCAAGTTATGTGCATGTATATGTATGCATACATAAATAAAAGTAAGGTGGTTAAACTCATATAGAATGAATATCATGTGGCATAGCTGTTGCCAGTGTTGCTGTGGTAACCAAGCATGACAATGTGTCAGACAAGTTAATTTTAGACAAAATAAACTGTTTCTTAAAACTGTTGGAGAAACAGATGGATTTTGTCTTAAAATGGACTCTTAAACATTTGCTTTTTGGAAGTGCTTTAGAGGAAGACCAAATACATACACATTCACCTCCCAATAGCTTGCTCAAAGATAAAGGTTTCTAGATGCCACCTTGCCAGGACTGTCTTTATCACCTGTGCCTCACATGCTAAGGTATTTTCCTGTACCTTCTTGAACTGATGCTTGGGCCAGTTCAGAAGATGACTTGATTTCTTTTGGCTGTATTTCTGCTGGGTTGCTTGGCCTGCATTCTCAGCACCCTCTCTAACAGCTCCAGAACTCTCTTTTTTTCCACGTTTTTCTTTGTGAAGCACCAATTTAATGATATATTTTCCCACAGTGCCTTCACCTTTGCTCTTAGTTTAATATCCTTCAGCCTGCATCCACCAGACCAGACTTAATTTTCAATGAGAAGGTAGCATACAGAATGCAAGCTAACTCTGGGATCTGGGTATGATGACTAGAAATGATTTGATCACTGGACTAGATAATGATGGTTGCTAAGGCACCAGTGGTCATGGCCTTCTTATATACAGGATAAACAGAGGACAGCCCTGAGCAGTATTATTTTCATTCAGGGCTTCAAAAGAGCAATTTCAATGCTGAGGCAAATTATGAGCCAAAGAAGGTGGGAATGAAAATAAGGATAGAAAAATAGGATTGTCTTTTAGTAAATAGATTCAAAGGCAAAAAAAAACCCACCAAGATCAAATAAGAAGAAACTGGTTACCAAACAGAAGACTCTTCTCTCAATAATAAAAACCAGAAGTTGATAAAACTCAAACCAAATTAAAATGACCAAAACCTAGAACCATAAGAAATGAAAATAAACAGCAATTGCTGTCTCCAAGAAGATACTAAATTGAGATAATTGATAAGAGAAGTTGTCGGCATGAGGGAAAAAAAACACTGCAAGGAGTGTTACAGAAAAAGCATATTAAGAGCAAAAGAATTATTATCAGTAGTGTCTTTGCTAGAGCCATGGGTAGCAATTGTAATGATAACAATATCATTTATAATATCAATAAATGCTCCCTAAGCACTTCCTTCCTGAAAAATGACAAGAGGCTATTAAATATTTTTTGGTGATGACAGTGTTTTTTTGTAAGTATTTCAGTAAATCAAGGAATAAACAGCCAAACCTACCAAACCCACCCCTTTTTGATGATCAGCCAGTTCAGAAACCTTTGAGATGACTCTGGCAGAGTTGGCAGAGGAGATAGCTTATGTATTGCTGTGAATATTAATGCATCTTTTCATTCCACTGAAATTCCAAAAAGATGGAACTACTGTATGTGAGATAAGACTGTTTGAGGTGCAGAAGCTGGAGAGCTGACATCTATCACTCTGAAGAAAATAATACAAAAGCTTATATGAAACTCATTTGGTGAAGACTGTAAATATAATTAACGCCAATCAAAACTGTCTCTGGAAAAGGGGCCTTGTCAAACAAACCAGATTTCCTCTTTAAGGAGAAAACTATTTTGGTTGGAAAATGCACTGATAAGTGTAGCAGAATTGCCTAAAGTGCTTGCTTTTATACTGCACACCTTTCTGGCTAAAAATACAGCACTACAGAACATCAATACACCCTGCCACATAACTGACACATTTTATTTATGAGGAAATCGCAGATTTAGGAAGCAAATATAAACCCATTGATACAGGCAGAGATATATCTGCTGATAACAAGAGCAAAATGCAGGTGAACATGATATGTGATGGTCAGAGTGTATGGTTCAATTACAGTTTGACTTACAGTCCCTCTGCATCCCTCCTAGCCTTATGCTCCTCAAATATAGATCTTCTCTAACACCCAGTAGGGAACTCCAGAAATTCTGCTTGACTTGCTACAGCAAAGATCCTGCAAAAAAAAAAGATATTACAGCCCTATAAATAGCAGCTGTTATCCTACAGAGTGGTGCAAGATAGAGACAGAAAGTGAGAGGTTCTGGGGTTGTCATCTCCATTTGGGATGTCTGAGGGCTCAAAGAGTATTTCCAAGCAGCTATGACTAGCGTTGTTTTGAGCTGTGCTCTCAAGACAATAGTGCCCCAATGGTGCTGGGGTCTCCCAAGGGATGCAATGAGACCGAGCATCTCACAAGCAACACTCAGCATCTTACAGGATCAAGCCTGTATTTATCACCAGGGGAAAAGCTAGTCCTACTGTTGAAGCCTACATTCTCTCTTGCTTAATTTCTCCCAATTACTCTTAATTGTGCCCCCAGGAGTAGAGCTCTGTGAATAATTGATTATTTCTTGTTGTTGTTTTGTTGCCAAACTGGGGGGGAGGGGAATTATTCAAGGTTGAATGAAAATGAAAAACATTTAGGTTTTTCTTACCATAAAAAGCCCTCCCCCATCCCCTCCCCCCCTGAATTTTTCAGGGCAAACAAAATAGGTCTTTAATTTAAACCAAAGTGATTTGGTTCATTTTCTTTTTCCGACTGTTGCCAGCAATGAAATGTAACCATATGCAATCTTATAGCATCATTTGAAATGTGACAAAGTCAAAACATGGCATTTAAACACAATGAACTGAAAAGATTCAAATAATATGGTTTGGAGCAGGAGGTCTGCTATAGATCAAATTGAACCAGAATTAGTGAGAATCTCCATTTCCACTCTCAACATGTATTTTCCAGTGACTGAACTGTTTTCCCCATTCTCCCAATTTTGTTGTGATCCTACTTAAGCAGTCTTGTTTTCAGTATTGACTTGTATTCAACTTCCATACATAGGTAGGTTTGTGCCCCTTTTCTGAGCTCTCCTTCAGCCAGTTCTACCTAATTATTCTGATCTCTCAGAAGTCAGTCCCTTCTTCCTATTAATCATTTTTCTTCTTGGATTTGCCTCCAATTTATCAACATGGGCCTGGGCAAGAGCTGCTAAGGAATGAATGCTGTGTTAAATTGCAAGCCAGTGACAATAGCTACTGTTCACAGATAGCTGGGGTTTGCTATTTTTCATGCAATTGCCATTTCTGGCTCAGTTTCGTTGCTTTGCCAATCTCCTTGAAACACATTTCAGGCTGGCAAAGGTCCGTTTAGCCCTTCTTTTTTTTCCTGGAAAAACTGTAGGTAGCTCATTTATAGGCATGGGTTGGAAAAGCACACATCCTGGATGTCCCAGCACCTTCTAATAGTTCATAGTTTCCGAATATTTTACATTACTGTGTTCATTAAAGTAATTGTTCTTGCCCAACTCAACCATTCATTGAATTTGCTTAAGGCTAAAACTTGATATACATACTTGATGCTTCCAAACATCTGCGTGCTTAGATGCCAGAGGCTATAATAAAGCCAAACCTGTCTATATGAAATATTGCAAGGAAAATCACTGGAGGGTCACCAAATTAGAAGCAGCTAAGAGAAAGGAAAAAGCTACCAAAGTTTTCCTGCACATTCAGAGCATCTGTGCTCTAATGCCCTCCTTCACTCATAATCTCAACTCAAACTGATCTGGTAAACAGCGAGGGATGGCGAAGGATTGCATGCTGGGGAGAATCAGGCATGAGAAGAGTGATGAGAAACCTGTGCACGTTTTCTTAATTCATCCAAGCAGAGCAATATTTACTGTTCCTCAAGGTGATTCAACACTGAGTCCTGCTGCCAAAATATAGCCCTTTCAAAAGCACATGAATGCTGATGATGAAAGTGCTCAAACTGTCGATATTTTTCTGACTTTTCCTTTGAGAACTGTGCTATCCATGCTCGCATTTGTTCAGCACACACGCTTCATTGATTTATGTTGTATGAAAACACCTTAGCTGTGTCCTTAAAACCTCATTAGTGTCGGTTAAATATCCATTTGAATCTGAGTTTTATTCACAAATGCAAATTTACAGAAGTTTTTAATTGTGTGTCACGCATCAGCGCGATTACAACTTCATCTCCTCTGTTTTGACATAATGTGGATTTAATATTTTGCAAAACCAGCAGCTTAAATAATACACGATGACTTACTATTTATACAGAGGCAAACATTTCCCATCGCTTCTCATGTGGTCAATACCTACTGAGAAAGAAGGCATCCTGCAATTAACAGCAATGAACTAATAATAGCCACTGCTGTGGCCTTGTATAAAAGCAGCAGAATGTTTATTTTCTAACAGGAGTCAGAAAATACTTTGTTTAGCAACAGGAAAGCCATGGTAGACATATGTGTTTTGCATTGTCTACAAAGAACTGATGTCCAAAAGTTTTGCCAGAGTTATGTCATATTAAATTAAAAATAAATTAATAAGAAACAATTAAGAATAAGAAAAGAACATCAAGATTTGTGTGATGTTATGTTTTTGGTGTTCAGTTTAGCATCCTGCTCTGTCACTTCACCTCTCCCATTCCTCCCATGTTCCGGTTTTCTACCTCGACACTGTAACTCTAATAACTTACCATTGCTAATCTTCACCTCCTTCCCTTATAAATCCCCTAGCTCTAGCTAAACAGTGGGCACAAAGAAAAGCCAAAAATGCATATTTCCACCCCATGCACATGATCGGATCAGGGTGAAGTACCCCATCCTGATGCCTGTGTAAGTGCAAATCTGACAGCTCCAAATCCTGTGAAATCCCTTTTACTAGTGTTGCAGTGACCCTTTCCAATGAGCCTTGCCTGCTGTTGTTATTTCTTCATCTAGGAATTGCAGCCTGAACATAGCACAAGAGTCTGTAATTACAATCCTGATGATTTCTTAATTTTCAGCAACTGGATAGGTTGTTCAGTAGGGAACAAGCACAAGCACAGGCTGGTTTCTCTTATTGAAACTGCTCATCTGCTTTGTGAATTCTGAATTCAAATATGCTTTTTTTCAAGCAGACCTTGATGGCATGGCACTGAAACACTTTCCTTCCACAAGCATCTAGCTGTTTTACTCTGTTGGGAAGCCAGTTGGTGATCTTTACTGCTATTGATTTATGGTACTTAAATAATTAATCTTTTGCTTTTCTGCTTCCCTCTTTTTTTGGCAAGAGGGTTTTCTGAAGCTGTGCCTTTCCTGGTAGTGTTGTATAGCAGGTCTCTATCATCAAGATTAACAGTGTTCCATGCTTCACAACCATTTAGGGCTGAAGGTAAAGGATGAGCAACAGTTGCTCAGCTATCTCCCCACTGAATGAAGCAATCAATCAGTCCCCAAAATGCCCTCTCAACAACTGCAATTATGACATTGCTCTTCCCTGAAAGCATCTACCTTTAATGGTCCTTGACCTGAATACATCCTTTATTTGACACTTTTGTGTTACTTCTTTTTTTACCTTTGTAGATATGATGACAGACACTTCCTCCCTCATTCAAAACCTATTCAGTGAAAAGCAGCAAGAACATTGATTTAGCAATTCCAAATTCATAGGTAACTGCCTTCCTCACTTTGTGATTTTTTGCCCTTTGATCCTTTTTCTTCAAAACATATATCATTATCCTATTGACAGAGACTTTTTCCTTAGAAGCTGCTGCTTATGTCTGCAAACTTACCTTTTCCATTGATTCCATACCATCGCTAGACTATCATTGGCAGTAGAATAGATCTCGGGTTCCACATGTTCTCTAGCATGAGTTGTATTGAGTAAGGTGTAAGTCATAGATGAACACTGAGCATCAGAAGAAAAGTTGTGCCCAGAAACAAAACCTCAAGGACCACCTTGCTTATAGGTAGCTGAAGGACACTGAAGAGATGTCAGCCTTTCAGAAAGAAAGTTATTCATGATGTTTTCTGACAGAGATAAAAAAGACAGCCATATCTTGCCAGCAATACCAACCTACTTCTTATAATCTGCAAAACTATGTGGCCAAAAGGCTCCAATTTAAAGGGAACTTGCTTTATCAGCTGATGGAGGTAACTCCCTTTATCACAATTCAGAGTGTTCCAGGTGTTAATTATTAAACAGAAACATATATTTCTCCAAATTCACCTTGAGATACAAAGTTTAACTTTGTCACTGTTTCCACGACAGAACACTTGGATGTCAACAATATTCAAAGTATAAGCTTGTTACTTTAACTTGAATTGTCCACCTAACTTGAAAATGCATCTGATTTTCTTTAGTTATGCATTATAACAGATTTTTCTCTTGCAGCTCTTTTCCAAATCCTTTTCATCTTGTCTTCATGCTTCGCAAATAGTGGACATCTAAATCTGACATCCTATTTCAAGCCCATGATCCATTCAGAGCATGAAGATATGGAAGAACGGTGCAAGGTAATAAACTGTTTTCAACAGATCTGTTATGCAATAATCCAGGAAGGAAAAAGGAGAACAAGAAGAAACAAAACCCCCAAAACCCCAGTGTTTTTTAAAAGAAGTAGGTTGAACTCAGTTGAGCCACATAGCCTTATATACCACTGTGGCGTCAGTAGGACACCTCAAATGTTCCTCTTCTTATTTTCTCTAATAAATACTTCGTTTGCAGATTTAGACTAGATAACTTGTATCTAGCTGCTATGAACCTATGGAGAGTTGAAAGCCATTAATCATGTCTTGCTGTTAAGGAAGGAAGAACATGCAATTCTGGAGACTGTTAGTCAATAAATAGAGACTTTTCAGGCATTCTTAATTGACTACCATTTGTCACCAATTTGCACACAGTAAAATTCTGCTAAGGATACCCTTGCAGCATCGATTGCCAAATCAGAATAAAAAAGAACTTATAACACCCAGTCAGTAAGATTTCTGTAACTCTTTCCCCACCCCACTTCTCCTCATGTCAGTGGGTATTTGAAGTCTGATTTTATAAATAAGGTTAAGAGATATGTGAGCTCGTTATAAATCTCTGCCAGGCTAAGAAATATTAAAGAAGCCTTTAAAGAAAAGCACCAGAGAATAAGGGAGGAGGCCTACAAATAGCACCAGACAGGCTAAAAAATGGTGACTCAACAGTTGTGAAATTCCCTGTTGCACAGATAAAGCTTTTCAGTCTTGGTCAGGAGGAAAATGTGAAAATTTACCCTGGGAACAGTCGCTCTGATGCCGAAAAGGTCTGAAATCTTGCAGATTGGGATGAACTTAGAGAAGTAGCTATCAAGAAAGATGTTCCAACACAGTGAGATCTGTTAGGCTGAAGGATAACCTCATGAGGAAACTGGTAGAAATCCCATTGCTCAACATATTTAAAATTAGGCTGGATACAGCAGGTGTTATGTATCTCTATATGTGCAATAAAAAAACAATACAAAGAAATCACTGTGGCACAGCTGGAGACATGAATAACAGTGTTTAGCTCACAAACAGCTTTAGAAGGCTACTAGTATATTCGGACCATGTATCACAGTGTGGGTTGTGTTGAATTGCAGGGGCAAATCTTGAAGGGAGTTGGACTCCACACTTCAGTAAGTGCTCTCTATTTGGATACCTGTGACCTTACGCTTTGCTAGAGAAGATATAGCTCCCTTTTTTCAGGCTTGCAGTTTACTCCAGTGGCTCCTTATCTGTGTCTCTTGACACCTACAATTTCACATTCCTGCCAACTTGTATAAAGCAGCAAAGAATAATAACTTGGTCCTGCAGTCTATTACTCACTTGGCCAGCTTCTAAACTCTTAGAAATGGTATTTCTCCCTCAATATGCTTTGTCTTGTAACTTGTGAGTTTTATAACTGAAATTTTTCTTCTTTTGTCGCAGTATTTCTCTATTCCTACATATCCCAAAAGATCATGAAACATCAAAACCAGCTATGTTAAGCCTTGGATTTGTCAGGATGCTCACCCATAAGCAATCCAGCAAGGGACCCAGCTGGTTTTTGCAGGGTGTATGTTATCTAGTTTCCATGGTCTAGACCTACAGACACCCAGGAAAACATCAGAACAGAGAATTAGCTCAATTTGTTGTGTTTACAGCAGCAGTGCCTGTGGGAACACTGGTTACACGGACACAGCATGTTGGATCCTGAAAGAGTGAAAGCATTTTGAGAGACTGCCTCAGCAACATGATCAGAGTTTCACAGGGAAGTTAGGCATAACGTGGTAATGATGTTTTTCTTTCGCAAGGCTCAGCCCGACAAGCTTCAGCTCTGGGATAGACACCTTTATAACTGCTCTTTCTGTGCAGCAAGGATAGAGGGGAGAAACTGCTAGTTGGATGTGTGAAAATAACACCTCCTGCAGTTGTTCAGCTGATAGTGGGGGTTTGCCAGGCTTGTGCAAAGCATCACACCAGCTCTGTAATGCTTCCTGCCGCTCTGTTTGGTGCAGGGCATGTTATGTAAGTGAAGATGATGTTGTGTGGCTTAAATTGAGGCGATAGGATGAAAATTGGGCTTTCAAACTTAATACTTGTGTTTAAATGTTCATAAAAAGTTATTGCATCCTTATACTGCCACTGAAGAAGTACTAACACAAAACGATTGAAAAGGTGAATCTTTTGAGTTAAGGATCTCCAGCACAAGATAGCTCTCAAGGTAGAGCAAGCTCTGTAGGGAGTAGTAACAGCCTGCCTTTAGATTCACACAAGGAAGCAATCTTTAACATAATTATTTAGAAAGAAGACTTTGGAAGCAATTGAAGATGTGGATGTTCAGCTTTTTGAGGAAAGATAACCTACAGAATCTTCAATCAGAAATGCCTGACACAGAAGTCTGATTATAGCAAAAATGGTGCATGGAGGATGCAGGCAGAGGTCAAGTTGCAGGTCCAGTGCAAAACACAATGCATTTCCAGATCAATGTTGTTTTTTAAATCATTCTCTCGTGGAAATATGGGTACTCCTGAACGCTGATGCTGCTACTGCAGTAGTAGGGGGGAAATGCTGCATGCAAACACAGAGCACCTCAGCTTCAGGTTGGCAGGCTAACCATTTATCCAGCTTTCGGCCTGGTAATGGCTCAGCTCTGGAGCCTCCCACAGCCCTGAACCCTGCCAGCCCTGTGAATTATGAACACCTCTGTCCAGCTGCCCGAGGGAGTTGGAATGGCAAGGATACACAGAGCACAGCCAGCTGGATGAGGCTCCATGCAGCACACAGGAATGGAAAGGTTTTCCTTTCTACCATGGCTGGGGATGGAGGAGGTTGCTATGCACCCTTTCTGTGCCTGGGCTGGAGCACTCACCAAGTGCCTTGGAGAATGGGGTTCAGTGTCCAGGCTGGATGAAAAGCCTAAAAGAGGATGAGATTTGAAGTTCTGGCTTTTGACTTCAGAGAAGTGTGGGACCAGATAGGAAACCCCATGGCCTTTTCAGAGATATGGAAACTGCTCTGCCAGGCCAAGTGCTAATCTCCTGCAATGCATCTTGCTCTGCATCAGTGTTATTTTGCTACAATAAATGCTTACAGCAATCTAGAAGCAAATATTTGCCTTTTTTTTTTCTATTTTTCCTTTTAAGTTCTTTTTACATCTCCTTTAATCACA